GCAGAACGCACACTCGCCGCTCTCTCGCGTGTTCCCGGACCCGTTTCTCCAGCGTGCTATCTCTCGCTGGCTTGCGCGGAGACGCCAAGTCGCGCCTGCCGCCTAAGAATAATAAATAGAGATAGAGGAGCGTAGATAGCTGGCATGGGCCAGGGGGAGGTCGCGTATCCTGCCCACGCAGAGATTATCTGGAGGAATTATGAGTGACCGCTCCGGCTTCTAGGTTATGTAAAGCAGACATGACTATCGACGCTGTTCGTCCGTGAAATGGGCGATGGTTCTGGGTACAAGTTGTATAGACGCTTGATCGGTTGTCAAGGGTAGAGGGTTGAATCTTCCAGTCGATGTGCGAATGGTTGGAGTTGTTGCGGAAAGAGGGAAGAATTCATTTTGTGAAATTGTTTTAGCTTCAACTGGCATCTTTGGCTTGTAAATAATTACGTTAGATTTTATTAAGGGGTTATTTAATTTTCAAATATTCATTTTTAATGGTATTCTATATACCGCTAATCACCACTGATAGCCGACTAAAATACAAAATGTGAATTAAAATACGGTAGTTTAAAATTGTAAAGATCCAAGTTGTGGGTTGTCTGTGATTCGAAGATATTGAGAACTAAATGAAAGAATGTAAATTAGTCGTGTCAAACAATGCCACGAATATCAAAGACCATTTCAACAATTATCTCTTCAGTGTTTCCAGACAAGGCGAATAGTTAATTCTTGTACTTCATCCTTATTCAACGATATTGCTCAACGTCTCTTTCCTTCGTCAATCATCTGTCAACAACCAGAGACATTTCATAGCTTATGTATTTCTTTCAATCGGCGTAATTTATAGGGTTATTTCGCGCGAACGCAGTCATCGTAACAATAGGAAAGAAGCGGAGCACGACGTCAGCCGTCCGTGAAACTTGCACGCTTGTAATTTGTCGCTCTTTATATTATTGTGTTGTACGATCGAGCACGGTCGCGCTCATTTTGTAATCGTTCAGTATCACGATGACGATCGGCAACGATCATCAGATCGAATTATCGTGTTGGCTAATCGCTGGAGACCTCGATTATCTTCGCGATTAAAAGCTGCGAGCTTCCATTCCAATGGCATCTCGGCTCGATTGCAATTCCTTTCCCTCCGTCTTGCTCTATCTGCCTTCTTCCTCGCTTCTATCCCTCCGCTCTATTGCTTTCTTGTCGCTGGAAAAACAGGCGAATCGACGGCTCGCCTTCCGTCGTACGTTTCAATTAAACGCAACAAAAGGCGAAGGAACGGATTTTCGCATTTTTACAAGAGCCGAGGTCGGGAACGACGGCACACCGGGTAATTGCGACTTTTATCCTCGCGGCCGTATGGCGCGGCACACCGTGAAGAGAAGAATGCCATTCGCGCTCTTAATCCCCTTTTCCACGGAGCCACGGAAAGTCAGTTTTTCGTCGTGAAACGCTCTTTAGCGCCAAGAAGGCAATTAGCTCGGAATTAGCTGTGCATTCTGTCAGTTTTCCCATTTACGCATCGCTCTATCTTCCTTCCCTTCTTCGCGCGTAACGTCGTTCAACGGGTGACTTTTCACCCCTTGACAGTGATCGAGAAAGAGAGAAGCGGCGAGAGTTATTTAAAATTGCTAAAACAGCGAACGTTGGTACATTATTATGAGAAATATATAATTGGCATTTTGGTGTAGAAAAAAAGGGCACGATGAGTGAATGTAATTTTTATATATAATCATCGTGGAAAATGAAAATTCGACTAAAGCTTCTCCCTTTCTTTTGTTTCAGACGTCACGGGTAAGTGGACAAGCGAATTCTTTCTTCTTTCTATTCATTTCTATTCTACTCCTTCGTCATCCCGGTTTCTTCTTTGTTCTTCGCTCTGTTTCTCGTAATCAAGGATCGTCCGTAAACTCGACATGACCGGATCGATCCTTGCGGAAATCCATCCGTGCAATTGCCGCTCACGCACTTTAATGATCTTAATTAACGAAGTTATTCTTTACACTTGTAACTCTTGCGACTCGGCCGGCTACGCAGGTTTTCATGCCGCGTGCTCGATGAAATACCTCGTTTGACGAAACTAGTCGCTCGAACGATTTAATCGCGGCCACCGCTATCTTACCGATACTTCGACGTCGGTGTCGTGAATTTTTCACGTATTGTTATTCTGAAATGTATACGAGTATTTTTATTGATAATTATGCTCTTAAAAACTTTACGATATCTTTAACTATTGCTGCCCGAGTCAAATTCAACATTTTCTCGCGACTGGTTTATACTAATTGGTAAAATTCGAGGCTGTTTATAATTGCTCTAATCATATCTGCATAATATGATAATGTACGTACGTCTTGATATATGAGTCAGTTAAAATCTAGAAATAGCACGCACCAGGGAATTAGCTTCAATATGTCCAACTTGAATTTCTATTGAACTTCGATTAAATTGAATTTTAATATCAAAGAATCTATCTCATATGTTAAAAGTACGAGAAATGGGGGAAAATATAATGATGAGTCTAGTGGTATGCCACAAGTAACGAGACTAAAAATATGCAATAGAATTTTAGAAATGAATTTGTTGACTAGGTATTTATCATTTATTACTAACGGTAACCATATGCTTGTTACATGTTAAATGAATATAGCAAGAAGTAAAAGCGATAGACTACAACTAAATACCATTATCAAATCTGCAAGTAGCATTGGAAATAGATCATTTGCAATTTCATAATCTACAAAATCTTTTCATTGCCAACAGGTTTCCATTAATAGTATCTTCAAACGCGAACATGGCTAGTTCGATAGCAATGATATAATTAGTACCAAATAACAAAGTTTCAAAGGAGTATTTCAAAGGAATGACAGTGGCTATACTAGAACGATCGTGAAGCGATCCATGTCTCGTACCGATGGTCTTTCGCGGAGCGTTTCTTCAACTCGGTTTTGTGTTGGCGCGTACGGCGCGCGCCGCGGTAACGAGCCGCTCCGGCGGCTTAATTAGATTAATTAGATTGCAGCCGAGGCGGATCGCGCGTTCCGAGATCTGTCGTGATCCGCGATCGCCTCCGCCAACGTTACGTTTTCATTTCTACGCGATTATCGTTAAAGAATCGAACCGTGACCGAGCTCGTTTCCACACCATTTTTTTTTCATAATAATTCTCGACTGTAATTTCGTATGCGTCTCGGTCTGTAAGCTTGGGGTTTTGTATTTTGTTATACCGATGGATTCATATGCCTTTAACTTCCCAATTTTATTTCATATCATCTTAATAAAGTATATATTGTTCCGATTTCAATTTCATTTCAGATGGTGTGGATAATTTACTTCTAATTTCTGTTATGTTGCAGAATTAGATGATTTCTACAGATTCCTTTGATTTGTGAAAAATTAAACATAAATCACCATTTTAAACATCCGAGACCGAAATAAAGTCGATCGATTTGATTCCAAATATTTGAAATCTCTGGCAGAATTTCGCATTTATGCTGAATATTTCTATCGCCGCCACACGCAACTTCTCGATTTCGATCATTCCATCGACTTTGGTTACACGATTTTTGTCGCCTGGCCCGTTTCCCGGCCGGTTTCGCCGCATTTATAAATAGGTTTTTCAGACGCGTGTGGTATCGGTCGCGCTCGTCAGCATCGCGGCTGAATGCTAATTTTACTAAATCGTATATCAAAAGCGTAATCTACCGTGCGTCGCGCTGCACCGTGGAATCCTTAACGACGTAATTAATATGTAAACTGTAAAATGTGTACGGGCCCGAATCGATTCCTATAAATATGTATGCGACAGATCGGCCGGCGCATTCTTCGTTATAGTAACGTGTAGTTTTGCCGTCATATTTTTTTAACCATCGACCCGTGTGCGTCGATCACAAAGTATATTCGCTGAGTATACCAAGTTTCCATTCGTGGCGTCTTTCGACGCTTCGGTAAGAAAGAACAGTTCCGTTGATCCCGTACTTTAATAACGATATGTCGAATCTTTGACGTCGATGAATTTTTATCCATGAATATTTATGCTTTGAACGTTCCTACGAGCACAATGTGGCATGTTCGACGCGTCGTCTACGCGACTTTCGCGCTTCTTCGGGGAAGAAACGCCCTCGAGTCACGAATTATCGCGGATTATTCATTCGGTCGTATATCAGACTCATTGCGCGGTTGCGTGAAGTAATTAATATATAAATGGCTAAAGGTGGTGGTGCCCAGGAACGTGGTCGCCTATAAATATTTATGTATTGTATTATTCAGTCGGTGAAACGAGCCGGATAACGACGACGCGATGCCGCGGGTAATCTCGAAGAATAGAAATGGCGGATTGCGTGGGTAATAATTTTGCGACGGCAAGTGTGCGGAAAAAGGACGAGTCCTGGCACAACCAGCGAGTTATGAATCTCTTGACCTTACTTTAGTCCTTACTTTATAAGGAATCATTATCGTTCTATGATGATAAATCTTCTAATCGTTGAATAATTCGATTATTTTCGCTTATCCTTGAAACGAGTAAAATCGCGAACGAACGAATGACTGAGAACTTGAAAATTTCACACCTGTTTCGCACGAATATCGAACTACAAATCGATAACGAAGAAAGGTCATCGATCGAACCTGATCAGCGTACACGTCGAAAGATGGTGTACAAGCGGCTGAAAGGAGGAGAGATCCAGAGAAGGTTCGAAGCGTTGACTTCAGTCTCTCTTGGTTCTTGAACCGCGCAAAAAACATCCGCGCTGAACCGACTTTTTGGTCGTTAATTAGTTGCATTTTTTTACGATCCCTGGCTGCGTTGCACACACGTGCAGCGTAACAGCTCGTCGGAAGGATGAGATACGAGACGAAAAGAAAAGGATAGAGGAAAAGGTAGAACGAAAGAAACCAGAAGATGAGTAATGAAGAAAGGAAAAGAGAACGGAGATCAGGCAGAACGACGTTAGTAGCGACGAGACTTAATTTTTAAAGCACGCTGCCCCGCGTCTGAGTCGCATAATGTCCAGCATTGTGCGTTCCACGATCTTCTCACCGTTCTGATCGAGTCCCTTTGACAGACATATGCGGCAATCAGCGCGAAATACGCTCGCCATGTGGCGCGTTTAAGTGTAATTACCGGCCATGCTTCTGAGTATTCATTAACGGGTCCCGCGTGTCCCTTGTGGGAGCGACAGGTTAGATCGATGCCAGCGCGAGCTCGTCTGCATTGTGTCGAATCGCTCGCGACTCGATCATCCCGTCACTCCAAGGATAATTAAAAGACCATCTCAGGTGTTGATGTTAATGATCCTGGGAAAGCTGTACGAGAGTTTTGCCCTCTGAGAATCTCGTGGAAATTACGCTCCGTTCCATAGAATTAATTCGAGGAAAGTATTTTTCATTATTGCTTCTTTTTATAGTTTGTATTCAACCTTTTTCTATTCAAATTTAACTTCAACCGAAAGTTTCTTCCTTATGCAAACATAAACGATACAAGTACCCTCGTTTTCATTCATGCTAATAGCAATATCGTGTACCAAGCGTTAAAACACCGAGCGCTATAAAACAAGGGTGAAAGAAATTGATTCTGTATGTATGGACAGCTTATCAGTAAGCCAACGAATCGAAGCGTTTAGCGACGCATAATTCGCATTGGAATGAGCAATCTGAACCGATAAGCGGAACACTTGAGGCCATCTGAAGCAGAGGGCAATTTGAAAAATGCTGACATTATGTACACGGGATAACAACCTGAATCGACGTTAAAACTCCATTCAGGCGCGTTCACGGTCAACATGGTATAACCATGTTCATAAGTACTTTCCTCCCCGGGATCGTCGTTTTCGAAGACACCTGCGTAACCGGCGAATCTCCACTTTACGTCTACCGTATTACCACTTTCTTCAAACGATACAAACCGATACATAGTATTACTTTAACGTGCAATAAAATCTGCATAAGGGTAGCCGGGTAGCTAAGGAAATGGCCCAGGATCCAGGATGGGATGGTGGGGTTAATTAAAAAATTCAGTAGCCAGGGTAAATGAGGAAAATTAAATTTTATGGGCACGCGGTTAATCCCGTGGTGCGGGCACGTATTTATTGGCTACCGGGCTTCGATCGAGCCTGACGTAATGGGAATGATTTTTGGGAAGGACCATCGGCCCACCGATAAGATAAGCATCCTATACTCGCTAGAGAGAGCGAGAGAGATAGAGAGAGAGTGTGAGAGAGTGTGCTTGCCTCCTTTACCTCGAATACGAGCTCGCATACACCCGTCAGCGTTCTTCGACACCTCAGTCTATCCTCATCTTCGTTCCTCCGTTCGTCCCTCGTGCTTTCTTCTCCTTTCACGATACCTCGAGCCGGGTCGGATTATAGCCGCCTGTTTGTCAGATCATGCAATAATTAGAATGCAAATCTACTAGGTGCTCGACGTGTGTAAAACTTTATTCGGTACTAGCTAGCCGATCCTCCGCTTCTCTTCTCTTTACTCTTCCACCTAGAAATCCGTAAAATTCCCTGCTTCCGTATAAATCTACGCGTCGGAGATTAACCAACAATCCGGTTTAATCCGATTATTATATTTGGTAATTAATTACCGATTGTTTGGTAATTCGGATAATAAGAAATGGTGTTTCTCAAAATTATTCACAGTTGATGTTGGTAATAAGAACTACGAAAGGGGTAAACATGGATTACTTAAAACATCGTTTTAACATCATGTTTTTTGCGATGCCTTGCGATTGAAAATAATTAACTCCTTATTAACGCCGTACTATAATTCTTGGATGAAGACTTTGAAAATCATGAA